CCCTCCAATCATGTTAAATTTAGCTAGTATTGTCAGCGCTGACCATTCAGCACTGGCGGTAAGAGCAGCAGCTGCGGCAGTAAAGCGATTTTGTCGTTTACCCTCCCTTTCCTCACAACATATCTATGTTCATTTTATAGAATACAAGTTCTGTAAATAGAGATCTACCATTTATCTGCTCTAGGGCTGCACTAATGATTTTCATAATCAATTGGTTAGCCGATTTCTCCGATTTTTCTTTAAATCCCCCCCCATCGGATTTTTAAAAAAAATACCATCCTTAATTGAAAATAAAATGCACTGTTACAAACAGAAAACTGCATGCACAATTTTTTGCAATCACACTGCAGTAGAACGCTGTGCGGGCGATCACACTGGGTGGGAGGCGCATTTGGGGTGCCATTGAAATGTATGGCACTGCAATGCACCTCCCGCAGCAGAATGACAGGCCGAAACCAAAAAGGACTACCCAACTTTTTTTTATTGTATGCATATGGCGCTTGAATTGCTACAGCCAGGAAATGACAGCTGCCAGTGGCAAGATTCCGCAGACAGCAGCTGACTGTAAATACAGCCTGCTATTGGCCATTTCAAATTGCAATAGCAGACTGGCTATTTCGCCCACTCACTGCTTGATGTGCCCTCCTCCCAACATAGAGGAGAAAGCAAGGGGATCCAACCAACTGATCAATAATGATGATAATTGACAAATATTCTCATTATAGATTTTTAATTGATTTAGATGGTTGCAGCCCTAATCTGCTTATCCTCTCTCCTTGTCCATTCATAAAGTGGCTTTTATTTTTGTAAACCTAATGCAAGGTTTTTTTTAATCAAATACAAGTATTTATAAAAATTGGAGCAGCTGTGAATGAAAATGAAAGATAGGAGCCGATTGGTTGCCAAGCACAGCTGCTCCAGTTTTAACTTGGAGAGTATCCTGAAAATACTGCATCCTCCATGATTGCCACTTATGACCCTCTTTCTACGAAAAAAAAAAATAAAGCTAGCTCCTTGGCTGTCTAACTTTTGCTTCAAGGAAATCTGTACTGTTGAAATTCAGCCTCTCTTTTGGAGTTTGTGACATATGTAAAATGCCACAGATGGAATCTTTGGCAGTCTTAAGCTGCTGGGCCTTGTTGCATAACTTACATATTTGTTAATCTTGTCAGTAAAAACTGCAAGCAGGCAGGAGGAAAGATGTTTACATTATTTACTGTAAGAATCAATCTGCTAGCTGTTTTTCACACTTAAGATCTGGTAAAAAGCATTGCAAAGCTAAACTGAATTGAAATTATTCTTTAACTCTACATATGATGTACCTTGGACAGGTCTCATATTCCTTCTTGCCCCACAAATACACAAGCCAAATTGATCATTATTCAACGTATTGCAAGGTAATTGCATCTACTAGTTTATGCGGTTGTGCCAGAAAGTAGTGCTTTCAGAAGGAAACTGCTGAAACACTTATTAGTTGATCCTTAGTAATGATGGGTATACTTCAGAAAGACCAAACAGGGATTTTTTTTATATTGCCGAGAGCTACAGTGTGCTGATTGTATACATTTTTGTATCATATATTTTTGGTATGTAAAATTCATAGAGCACATTTTTTATAAATGCCTTGAAGATAAAGGTTTTTAATTGAATTGCAAAATTCTGTCACTGTTTGTAATCTATGCACTGACTACATGGCTGTACACAGGAAGCGAAATTGTATAAATTTAAACTTTGTACGTGTATACAAAGCATAATTCATTGTGACCACTTATTTATTCTGACTAAACCTTTTTTTATGGTTGTCTATTTTTTTTCCATTTACAGTATGTGTTGTATTGGCTTTTGTATCACTTTTTTTTGTTTTTGAAAGGCAAATTGTGTAATATTTTGAATAGACATGACCCTTGATTTATCTATATACTTGGTATACATTTTTATTTATACAATATACTTCATGTGTGTGTATATATGCCACATTATAATAAAAGTTTGAACCCTCCTATGCTTTCATGGATAAAAGCTCCATATTTTAATAAATGGAGAAATACGAAATTCATCAATGCCACTGATTGTGCCACTCTACAATTTAACCTGGTAACCTTTCCAATTCATGATATTATGCTGACTGGAATACAATGCTGGGAAATCTCACATCAGATCAAATGAAGTAGCCACTTGGATGAACAGTAGAATGTTTTTAAGACTCTGCAAATTCAGTTATAGTTGCTACCACTAAATAGTGTTTTTGCTGCCTCCTATTAAGGGTAATAGAAATTCAGACAGTCTGGTTCTGCTGACATGAGGACTGGATGCAAAGTGTGTCTGTCCCTGTCCTGAGTACTATGTTGCAGCAGTCTTTCCATGTCCAGAGCCATAGCACAGCCCCTGGTGTGACCCTGTCTTTGAAGACTTGCTTTCAATAAGGCTTTTTTGGAGCTAAATCCCCAAAAGCTAGCTAACTATTTTAATTGATTTGGTAATGTCATAAGATAACACTGCATGAGAAGCATGACGATCTACATTAGTTTGGTGACCTCTACAGAATATATCCTATCTTTGACAGAACCTGCAATCTAGCAGTTACAGCTAGAGCTGTATAACTTTTTTTAAATGGCTATCCTGATAGTGCACTATTGGGGTGAGGGAGGGAGATACCGTCTGAGCATCTGTTCTCCTCTTGGCCCTTCTCACCCCCTCCCTGTCCATTACTGTGGGCCTGAGCTTTCTGTGAGACATCCAGATTGTCTCTATGGACAAAAGATGTTCCTTGTGTTGACCCATCAGTCTCTTCAGGTAAAGGCCCTATGCTTGATGGCGTGAAGAGTGCTACTCTAGACCATACTGTCTACCTTAGAGACCGTGCATTTGCAAGAATTCTACTCAACCAGTAAACTAATAATAAACTAAAAATTGAGGAGGCAAGAAGTGAAACTCTAGCTTGTAATCCCTAAATTACTAGGATCTGGATCCAAGAAGCAAGAATGTACCAGCTTCAGAAGACCACAATCCCCTCCACCACTTGAGAAAATGGGGTGCTTGTTATAATGAAGGAGACTGCTTCCCAGGTTTTTCAGACTTGGAGGCCTAGGACATACAATGAAATGTGTTGAAGGAAAAAAAAATGAGAAGATTGCAGCAACCTTATGCATTATCTAAGTGACACCAAAGGATAGAAAAGAGGGTAATGTGTGCACTCAGACTGGTAAATGTCAGCAGTGAGGCGGGTGTCTTAACATAAACCATCACTCTGCTGTACATTGATTGAGGAAGTTCACTCAGTACATCTGGTGTGCTGCTCTGCCTGCACACCTCACCAACACAGCTGATGTATAGTATTGCCTCCTCTATTAACTCATGTTATTGAGAAGTGCTGGTTTAACTGTTCCCTGTCCACCTGCTGGTCAGGACTGGCATTAAAGATGACCAGTGTACCCACCACCGTTCATAGCCATCTATACCCACCACTGCTGTGAGTGCATTTTATGCTTTTATTTTTAAGTGATTCCACCTAGCTCCTGAACTGATGATGTTCTGTGTCGGGCCCCTGCAGGTTATGTATGCACTCTCAAAAGACTGGTAAATGCCAGTGTGTGTTTTGAGAGTGCATACATCACCTGCAGGGGTCTGATGCAGAACATCACATGTGAAGTGAAAATAAAGCTTTGATTTCACTGGGGCACTCAGTTCAGGTGGGTGGAAACATCACTCTAAATAAAATGTGAAGTAAAAAAAACCCAGGAGCAGCTG